AGTATAATCTAGAAGGAAAAACACTGGGGAATGACTACTGTTATAAACTATTGTTGTGCCCACCCCTTTCCTCTTTGGGTGGTTGAGCCTTAAATAAATTTTAAATTTGTAAATTTTAATTTTAAAACCACAGAAAATTAAAATATCTATTTAGTATCTTTAAGACATACTATTTGAAAATATTATCTTTTGTAATTTTTATACAAGTTTTTATTAGGATATTTTAAATGTGTGTGCACATGCAAAGGGAATATCAGGTCGGTCATACTAAAACTTTTTCCCAGCTACTTTGATGATATTTAAGTTTCTTTGTCTTTTTTTTAAATTTATTTTTTATTTTTTATTTATTTATTTTTTGATGATATTTAAGTGTAATGATTTCATTTTACATTTCTTACCTCTGAGAAGTTTTAAAATGTCTTATGGCATAAAAGTTTATTAAAATATTTGATATTTAGCTTTATATCCATCCTCTTCTTTTATCATTTAATGTAATTCTCACTCCATTTTTGCTTTTTATTTTTATTAGTATATGTTTGCAGTACACAATGATTACATTCATTATGAGGAGTTGTTACATGTACAAATCACATCTTAGTTCTTTTTAGTTTTGCTCTTTTAATTCCCTTTCTTTATATTCTTCCCTTCCTCTCCTTACAACTCCCAGCTTTTCTTTTCCTCTCTTTTTCTTCGTTCCCCATACTCTAGTCCCATATATTTGAATCAGCAAACAATAAGAACAACTATATGCAAAGGGTATATTAATAAATTATTACATTTCTTAATAAAGTCTTAAAGAACCACAGAAATAAATAAAAAAGCAACAAAGTGAAAAAATATTAATAATCTTATTTGTGTTTTTATATACTATGATAGGGAGTACATTTCATAACCTTCATCTCCTGTTTCTCATTCTTTTTGGCCTTTCTCATCTGTATAAAAGAATGTTCTAACTAGTAAAATTAGCACTCTCCTTTAAGTCTGCACAGGATCTTTTAGAGCTATGCAGATTCAGGCTTTCACCCATTACACTTCACTAAATCTGTACCTGCCAAGATCGTCATTGACCTCCACAGTGGCAAATTCCATAGTGAATTTTCAGTACTCATTGTAGTTCACTTAGCAGCCTCTGACACATCTCTTATGAGCGTCACTTGCCTTTTATAATGTCTTATTTTCCTTCTGTTTACTGATATCCATTCTTAGCCTCATTGGTGGGTTCTTCTCCCTGTCCTTTCAACTTTGGAATCTCATTTGTTTGTTTGTTTGTTTGTTTTGTTCATACTCATTATCTCAGTGACCTTACTTGGTCTCATGGCTTTAAATGTCATCCATAGATTAATAATTCCACAGGTATATTTCCAGCCAGCCTCAAGTACTCAACTGCCTACTTGATGTCATGGATGGATATCTAATAGGCATCTGAGTTCTGGTATGTCATATTAAACTCCCGATTTTCAAAACCGTCCATGTAAACTATTCTTCCAATGGTCTTTCTTTTATTTTTTTTAAAAAATTCTTTCCTTCTGGTTGTCCAGGCCAAAATTCTTGGAATTTTTCAAATTACTCTTTTTTTCTCACATCATACCCCATACTGATGACACAGATTCATTAGCTAAGATCTGACAATATGCCAGTTAGGCTATAGGTTAACATTCCTCTCAAAAAAATTTAGTCACAGGCAAAAGTTTCCTCATTTATATGAAAGGAGCTGATGTTGATATTTCTTCATATAAACAAACTAAGAACAAAAACACAAAAGACTAATAAACATGTAATATTTGCTGCTATAGCCCTAATAAACTGGATTAAATATACATACCTAATCTTAAATGCCATTGTTATAGAAACAAAACAGTAAACATTAAATATATACACCTAATCTTAAATGTCATTGTTATAGAAGCAAAATAGAAGAGAGATAAATAGGTAGTACAGAGCAATTCAAATACTTTCCCCCATTTTTTTTTCATAAAATTTTTTAAAAGGAGGGGGAAGCATTCTTTTGCACCAAATATTCTTTAAAGGCAGGGCTACTTTTTTGAACAGTCTTCAAACTCCTACCCATAGCATTTGATCTGTACGCTTATGTGGGTATATGCTAAGCGCTAATTGAACAAATGCACTTCAGTTTCCAAAGTCATCTGGTACTACAAACATTGCTTAAAGAGTCAAATGTGGGTCAGAGGAGCAGGAACTATCATTCAGCTTTTCTGGCTACTTGGTCACTCTGTGATCAAGCTCAGAATAACATGTGCTTTTCTGAACTACTCCAGTGCTTCTTTAACATGACATTTTGCTGTTGTTTCCTTTTATGGCTTTTAATTACTGGGTCTATTTGCATGAATTGAGGAACTGGGTTGCCTAGGAATTCATCTGCTCATACTGCATATTCTTTTCTTAAATATGCATACTTCAACGCAGTTTTGCTTGCTCCTGCCAACATTTTGACAGACTTCTCTCTCCTCTCCACTTTTTTCACTGTCCTCCCATCACTCCCAGGAGAGAAGGGTTATTTTTAAAGTACAAGATCAATCGGCTTTGGGAAGCAGCCAAAGCATGAGGGGGTAATATGATTGGGAATAAGCTACGAGGGATTGGTAAGAGAGGAATGGCATGGGTCCATCCTAAAGACTGAGAAAGTCTGCAGCTCTCATTTAAGTATGTTCAGTTTTTTCTTTGCACAGACTTTTGTGGAGAGGGTTCCTAGCTTGGTTCTTGAGCATTATTATCAGTTGAAAGAAATACAAACTAATGTTACTAGTTATTTTTCAGGCAAAATACTGTCCCACTAAAATCAATTTTGGTCTGAGGATTTTGATGGAGTCTTAAATCTTTTGGTTTTGGTGCAGCTGTTTAGTTTTTGGTGCTAATGGTGCCTTAGCTGAGGGTCTGAATTAAGAACAAAGCAGTTATTATCTGAATCACTATAAAAAATGAGCAAGCAGTGCTGTCAGGCAGAGGAGCCCCTAATGAGAATGTGTCAGGATCACACTCAGACCAACATCACTGCTGGGAAGCCAGCGTCAGAGGAGGGAATGGGCTATTTCTTCAACCCTCTGCATTGTCTCACTTAAGAGAGCTCAGCTCTTTTTTCAGTGCTCTAATGTGACAACACAGGGTGTCTTCCGTTATGAGTTTTCTAGGTCTCATTTGACAATTATTTGTAATAGTCCTTTGTGGCCCCGAGGAGTTGATCCATGACTCCAGTCCTGCTTTTTTGTCACCTTCTTTTAAAGAAAACTAAGTAGTTTCTCATCTCCTTGGCGTGGAACATGGTATTTTGTTGTTTTTGTTTAATATATGATCTTTCTTAAATTACATTTTCACCCATTTAGTAGCTTTAAATGTTATTTAATTAACCAATTCATCACGTTGCAGTGAATGATCCAGTGGTCACTGCCAGTCAACATGATATAATGCACATTAATTTTTTTGTTTTTGCTTTGGATAGGCAAAATGGGTGGTGGGTCAGCATTTGCTATTTGTCCTAAGCTGTTTCTGTATAAGATAGGACCCTGCTCCAATGCTAATCTTATATCATTAAAATGCCTTCCTAGGGAATTCTTTTTTGACTGAAGAAGCTTGGTGGTAGCATTAATTGCAAATATGAGACCATGACCTATAAAAGAGAACAGAATGTCTTCTTAGAAGTGTTTGCCTTCATCACTGGAAACTCTCAGTAGTGACATAAACATCTTTGTCTTGTGCAGATCCAGTTACATCTAGCAACAGAAGGCATAAATACATTCTGAACAAAAGAACATTTATTCTCACATTCCAAGGCTGATGTGAAGTGATAACAGTTTTACATATCCTAAAAATTTTTATGCAGATACCATTTGAAGAAAAAAGTGCCTTTACAATAATCTGCTTTGTGAATGGAATTTATGTGCTTGGTTTATGTTGCCTTTTCAATATACCTGACAAGTTCTAAGTAAAACCTTTGATAGTGTGAAACTAGAAACAGAACCAAAGATTGTTTTATCCACTCACAGCAATGTTGTTTGTCTTCTTTGATTATTGGATTTGGGGTCATTTTATCTTAAATAAAGATATAAAATTACATATTATAATAAGTTGCTAGATTTTGTTTTATAAGGAATACCATACTTAATTTTTGCCAAGGCAAGTTATAGAACACTGTCTGTAGTTCATTTACTAAGCCTATTATCAATAAACCCTAAGCTGACATTAGGGAAAAAACCCTGCCAATTAATATTTTTTTCCACATGACTGTACCATTAATTTTTTTTTTCCGGTACCAGGGATCGAACTGAGGACCTTGCACTTTCAAGGAAGGTGCAGTGCCACTGAGCTAAATCCCTGGCCCCTGTACCATTAATTTAAAAAAAAAATTAAATCTTTATATTCTTTTATGAAAATGAAGCAAAACTAAAAACAAAATGTTATATGAATATGGAGTAAAGAATAAACAGAAGTGTTGTCTTATATGGAACTATAGGGGAATCACATACTGGGAAATTTAGGGTATATCAATACAGTATCTCTAGATATAGTCAAAATAGGAAAAATCAGACATTAAGCACTTCAAAAAGATTCTCTGATACTTGGTAAAGTTAGTTGGAATCAGTTATTCTCTATTTTTAAGTAGTTAATTTGGTTATAATAACCTGATTGGTTTGGGCATGTGGGTATAATTTTATTAACAATTTAATTTCTCATAAAATGAAATGGCCAACAAACCCCAGTATCCCTATACAGAGTTTATTTCCACTGAAGTTATTTTGAATTAAGCTAATAGCCTTATAGCTAATCTACAAATCTCTGAAGGCAATGAAACAGATAATCTTTACGTGGCATTTGTAGAAGATGCTGTAGCTGTATATCATTAATAAATAATGTTCATTTTGATGAGTTTATTGAAAAATGTTTTTATTAGCTTCCCCAAAACACTATGATGACAGTAGTAAAAGTAAAAAGTTACTAGCAATTATATAGATATTTAAATAATTGCTATTTTTTTCTTTCTTCAACAGTGCAAATCCAAATGGAGGAAAAAGAAGATGATACTGAGGAAAGCTCAAGTAAGCAGGGATGTGCCCACCCAGGACATGTTTTCTGTGGATAGCAGCGAGTGCCGGGGATTCTCCTTGTCATCTTGTGGGATTTAACTACATAAACGCATAGGAATAAACCACAGATAGGTACAGGATTGTACATGCCCGCCTTTTGATGTTCTTACAAAAGAAATCAAGTTCAGCAAATAGAATCCTTGCTGTAGGTTCTGTTCAATTGGCAAATTCATGAATTCTCCCAGTTTATAGGTTGTACACGATCAAGTAGACAATAGTCCACAACAGTTTGTTTTTTATTTCTCTCCTCTATTTTCCCTGGGAAAGTCTTTGGCTCTAAAATTTTTCCCTTAAAACTGAGTCTATATAATAGAACAGACTGGCTATTTTTTTTTTTTTTTTTTTTTGGTACCGGAGATCAAACTTGGGACCTTGCATCTGCAAGGCAGGCAGCGGAACCACTGAGGTATATCCCCAGCCCCAGACTGGCTATTTTATTTTTTTGTTTGTTTTTTGTTTTTTGGGGGTTTTTTGCTTAAATTCTTTTATCGGTACATTTTAGGTATACAATACATTTACATTTATCTTTGCGTGCTTGTACCTGTACATGATGTATCTTGGTTCTTATTTTTTCCCCATTCCCTGTCCTCCCTAAACCCCCTCCATCCCTCCCTATTTACAAAGACTTTGTTTCCATTTTTTCCTCGTCTCATAATTTTTCCTTTCCCTTCTTTCCTTTCCCCTTCCTCTCCCACTTCCCCTACCCTTTTGGACCTTTTCTTCCTATTTCAAATTATCAATTATTCATTTTAATCCTTATTTACACTTCCAGTTTCTCACACTAGAGAAACTATTTGGTACTTACACGTGTGTCCTATTTATTTCACTTAAGAGTATGGCCTCATTATGCATCCATTTAGTTATAAATGTCTCTAGTTTCTCGTTCTTTATGGCTGAGTAGTACTCCATTTTATAAAAAAAAAATCTTTATCCAGTTTCCAATTGATGAGCACTTGGGCTGTTTCCAAGCTTTAGCTATTACAAAGTGTGCTGCTATAAACATAGGTGCACATATATTGCTGTGGTAGGATTCTTTTAATTTTGGGGGAAGATCCCCAGCAGGGGAATAGCTGGGTCAAATGGAACCTCTAGTCCTAGTTTTTTGACGAATCTCCATACTGATTTCCACAGTGGTTGCACCACAGACTGGTTATTTTGACTGACCTGACCAGATGGTTCAATTAAAATGAAAAAACATGTCTTTTTGTTCCAAATTCATGAGCATTTTATCTGAATTGCTCTGTTGTTTTTACTTTGTGTAGGCGCAGTTCAAGAGTATGAATTGTGACCTCTTTCTAGGCACTCACATCATTCATGGCGGGGAGCATGAGAAAGACCATTATGTGAGCAAAAGCTTTGATTTTACCAAAAATGAAAGAAAGAGCAGCATCTAAAGTAGAGCTCACTTAAAGAGACACAGATACTATCAATTTAATGCCAAGAACACAGTGCGGCAACCAACGAAGGCTTACAATGCCAGTTGTTTTCATTACTTAGGTGCCGCCTAAATGAAAGCAGCCCAGAATGTCACATAGTTCCTGGTGCTATGACTTGAATAGAGAATTGAATCCATTTCAAGAGGCAGCATTGTACATAAGTTTGCATTTAGTATATGACCACAAAATGCTGTTTAGAATTTGAATATTTGTACACTAGATCAAGTTTTAAAGGCCCGCTTTTGTTTCTGAATTATAATAATTTTAATGATACATATTTCTTCCATGGTAAAACAATGCAACAGCTTTAATAGGTTAGTCTTTGCTTTTTCACTCTGTTGATTGCTTCTTTTGCTGTGCTGAAGCTTTTTGTTTTATGAGACCCCGGTTATCTGTTTTTATTTTTATGATGTTTCTAGCTTTGCTATTTTTTTACAGTATGAGGGTTGAACCTAGGGTCTTTGTACTGAGCTTTATCCTCAGCCATTTTTAATTTTTTATTTTTAGACAGGGTCTTACTAAGTCACTAAGTTCCCCAGGCTGGGCTTGAACTTGTGATCTTCCTGCCTCAGCCTCCCAGAGTGCTGGGATTATGGATGTGCAACATATACCCAGACTTTCCTAGTCTTGAAATTGATACACAACTAAAGACACTCTCAGGAGTATCTTTTACTGTAATAAAACTTAAAAAAAAAATCAACCTTTAAGTATTTTTTTAATCACACACCACAATGAGTTTGAAAGTGTTTCCTTCTCTTCAATTTCACTGAAGTGTTTCAGAAAGATTGGCATTAATTTTTCTTTCAGTGTTTGGTGGAATTTACCAGTGAATCAAGTAAATGTGTATACTACTAATTTTTTTTTTAAAGGAAGAGACAAGAAATATCTCAGAAAAAAGAGGAAAGAAATATTTGGAGTGCAGAATGCAGATAAGCTAGATGTGATGGTGTGCACCTGTAGACGCAGCTATTCAAGAGGACTGTTGAGCCCAGGGGATTGAAGCCAGCCTGGGCTTCTTATAAATATCTTATCTTATAAATAACTAAATGATAATATAGTATTATAATATTAGTAATAGCGGTAATGTAGATTATTTGAATTGGGAGAAATCTCCCGGGGTGAATATATTTCTCTAAAACTATTCTAGTTTGTAGCACTTTCTGACAATTCCCATTCTCTGTTCTAAGATAGAAGTAGTCATTAACACACCCATTATGTTTTAGGTTGGCAACCTCTGAACTTGGACCCAATTTGGTATGATATAAATTCCAAGCCATCTAGTTGTGCAAATAAATGAAGATGGAATTGTGAGGATTAATAAAATTTATGCATTCATAGTCACGTATTTGAGTAGTTGAACCATGAAGCAAGTGAATATCTAAATAATTTATTCAAATGGTAAACAGTGATGTGTATGTAATGGTGTCACTTATCGAACTTCGGGGATTGTGAGATTGTGGTCTCAGATGTGTGATGTTAAAAAATAAGAATAAATGTGGTAGTGGAAGAGAGGAAGACAGCACTTCCTGATGTTGCTCACTGGATCACCAACTCTGCTTAGGTGAAGAAGAAGATAAGTTACCCAGAAGAGAGAGCCTGAGGCCAAAGCGGAAGCGGACCAGAGATGTTATCAGAGAGGAGGACCCCGAACCTGAGCCAGAGGATGAAGAAACAAGAAAGGCCAGAGAAAGAGAGAGGAGGAGGCGGCTGAGAAGCGGAGCGTAAGTCAGTCCTGATGCATAACTGAATTTTGCTTTATATGTTCCGCCGCCCGACCCTGAAGGACCACTCAAGCCCTTTAGGTGCCTGTTGGCCTTACAATCCTTAGTTAAAACTAATCTCAGAAAGATAGGCTTATATTGATCCTGCCATTTACTGCACTTAACTCAATATATTTTAATAACTAAAAGAGAATTTAAACCTTGGTGTAAATTAAAGGTGGACTATAAGCAATTCCCTTATGAAAGATTTAAATTGACACATTATTAAAACATTATAGTTTATTTAAATATTTGAAAATTATCCTGTTTACTGTATACACTGTTATCTAAGCTAAGAAGAAAACTCTGAAAGAGTGGCCTAAATCACTTTATCTTTCAGAACAGAGGTTGGCTATAGCTACAGCTAAATATAGTCCAAGAGACCTTAAACATTCTTTAAAGGTTTATTCATAAAAGAAAGAAGAACACAGGACAGATTTGTATAGCACTCAAAGCCTAAAATATTAACCATTTTGGTCTTTAAAAAAACATGTGCTGGAGCCAGGTGTGGTGGCACATGCTTGTGATCCCAGCTCTCAGGAGGCTGAGGCAGGAGGAAATCTGCAAGTTCAAGGCCAGCCTGGGCTACATAGTGAGTTCAAGGCCAGACTGAACTCATTGTGAGACTCTGTCTCAAAAAAAAAAAGTACTGGTCTCTGTTACAGATTGGAAGTATTTCATTTTTAATATAGCCCAGCATCTTTCAGCTCAACATTTTACTTAGTGATTACTTTATATGCAATAGTATGATAAATGCTATTTTGCAAAAATCAAAGAAGAAAATTTTGGAGCTCTGGAAATTTGCAGGTGAAAGGAAAAAAAGGTGTAACTATAAAATGCAAGGAGTAATAGAAAACCTAGGTCCCTTGGAAAGGGAACAGCCAACCTGCTCTGCTATTGGAAGGAAGTAGGGCTAAGTGAATCCCAGAAAGGAGGTGAAATCCAAACACTCCTCAGACTTTAAATGATAAGGAACTTTCTCAGATGTCCTTCCAAGATGACACACTCCAGAATTCAGTAGCTCTATTATATCACTCGTCATAAAAAATTGTTATTAAATGCAAACAAAAAGTTTGTCAGGTAGAGAAGATTAGCATTAACGTACAATGTTCCTTTTGAAATAAAAGTTCTTTATATTTAGTTTATTTAAATTGTAAGTCTTATAAGATAAATAATGAATCTGATGATGGGAAAATAAAAAGGCGGGGAAGGGAATTGAAATGTGTTACATGCATGTACTAATCCCCTACAGTGAATGTAATCATTTTTATACACAGACATGTACTAATAAAGACCCCCACAATATATATTTTAAAAAATTTCCCTCGTTTCCTCCTTTTCCTCCTATTCCTTTGCTTCTTCCTTCTCCCCAGACTCCATCTCTGTCTTCACTGAATACCAAGACATCACTTGCTTTAAATTTTAACTGACATTTTTACTTGTACTTTTTAAAGAAACCCTTTCCTTGCAAAATAAAACCTAACACAGTTTTAAATCCTATGTAATATGATTATTAGTGCCATTTCTTTTTAAGAGGCACAAATGGATTTATTAGGCAGAAATTTAAAAATTCACAGTCAAAGGAACAGAGTATATGCCCTCAAGAAAAAGAAGCATGCTACAGTTTGGAGCAATGAATATTTATGATTTTGGTTATGGAATGTGTGAAACTGTAGGAAGTTGTGTCTTGGTCTTGGTTTACAGGAAAAAGGATGGCCCACCCACAGAAAGATAATGGCCCATTTTATAAGTGAGAGACATGAGTACCAGTGAATTATTTTTGATGGATAATCTAAGACATTTTGTGTGAAAAAATGTCCCGGCCCGCGGGTAAGTCAACAGAGACCCTAGAGGGGGGGTGAGAATGACAAAGGACAGGGGACACGAGAGATGGAGACAAGACAGGTTTCTGATCAAGTCTCGTTTATTGCGGAAGCTGCTACAACATATATACCGTAGGGCTAGAGGGGAGGAGCAAGAGGAGGGTACTGGGGCTACTTCCTTGTTGCCGGGTAGATTTGCAGCAGGCCCAGATATGTCCGTAAAAGGCACTCAAGAGTTCTAGCGGGGGGGCAAGGCCCCCCACAAAAAAATCCCTTGAATGTTCTCAACTTGTTCCTTTTTCCTAAGATCAGATTTCTGAGCATTATTTTATCAACTAGAAGTATTTTTACGAGATTTTGGATATGATGGGCCTAGAAGAAAAGAAGTACAAACAAACCTAGGGAATACTGATACAACTAATCTTGGATAACTGGAGTTGCATCTTCTTAAAAATACTTATTTTTAGTTAAAATTTTATTTGTTTGCTTTTTATCTACCTTTATTTTTTCTATTCAACCTAATGTCCCCCATGAGGCTTTAATCCCCCCCCCCCTTTTTTTTAACTGAAATGTTTAAGCAATGCCTTAGGGAATTTCCATTGCACTGACAAAATATTTGAAACCGAATAAAACAAAGATTGCAATGCTAACTGTATCCTTGGATGCAGTTAAAAAATACTGTTAACAATTTGGAGTATTTCTAATAATATTGCAGGCTTTTCTTGACCCAGTTTTAAGTGAATAAGTAATATATTCCTAGTAGTGAGAAATTCAGCATGTTATACCTTCTTTTTCCTAACAACTGTTGTTTAATCAAACTTAAAATAGAAAGTTTTTCTTGCACAGATTACTTCTAAATTTTACAAGATGAAACATATGTCAGCTATATCTTTTTAATATAATTAGTTCTTCCTTGGAGTGGTTCCTAGAAAAGCCATTTCTCTGTAATGCTTGTGAGATTGATATTTCAAATATGTGCATATTTGAAGGTAACTAGTCTATCAACCATTGTGCCTTGAAGGACAGAGGATCCTCCTGGGAGGAATCAGTATTATTTAAAAAAATATAGCAATTTGAGGGCTTGGGGTATAGCTCAGTGATAGAGAACTTGCCAAGAATGTATAAGGCTTGGTTTAATCCAATACTGCAAAACAACGCAAAATAAAACAGAATGAACAAACAAAAAAATCAGTCTGAGGTCATTTATTATAGGAATACATGGCTCTCCATGCCTTAGTCATCTTGCAGGTGCTTGTTATATTAGTGTACTTTGGTTTGAACCCTGGGTTAAGGATGAGAGTTCCATACATATATATTTATTAAATATTTATCCAGCTCTACAAATTCTTAATGCAGTAAGAGAAGCCACTTAGAAAAAATTATTATGAAATAAGATAATATATACATACCAGAGGCAAAGTACAAACAGAGTAGTTGGAGTCTCAGAGCAGTAAAAACTACTTTCACAAGCATAACAAGAAGAGGTGTTACTGCAGATATTTCCTATAACTTTTAAAGAAATCATAGAAATTGGATGGGCTAGGCACATAAAGTAAGTAATCAGTGTTGGAAAGTTTTCTACTAAGTGCTTTTTAAAAGTTGGCGTGGAAAGAAATAAGCTTTGGTATCATAGTTAATCCACACATGGAACAGCTCATTCATTTTTCTTTGATGGTGCTAAATTAAATGAGATTCTGATTTAGATATGATTCTTAGTGGAAGCTCCGTAATGTAAAGCTTCAAGGTGCTGACATGATATCTCATATTATTTTAGTTGGGCAAACTAATGGCTTAAAATGTCAAATCATTAAATTATTAAAGTTTAAAAAAATCTTTCTAATTCACTCCATTTTCTGGAAAGTCTTAGGACCTATTTTCTTTTAATTTTGCTAGTTTTCTTTCATTGTGTTCAATAAAACAATCATCTATACAGTTTGGATTTGTGTCTACATTTACCCAGCGACAATTTCAATTATTTTTATTAAAATACATTTTCCTCTCCTATGACAAACAAACCTATATAACATTTCTGATTAGGAAATTAGAAAAAACAAAAATTATGAATATAGATAGAGTAAGAAAAATTCTCAAGTATCTTATGTCATGGTTATATAACACCATAGGATTTTATATAATAAACACCAAATGAACAAATCAGAAATTACTCTGTGATGGAGTTGTAACTTAGAGACAGTTTTTTTTTTTTTCTTTGGTGCCGGGGATTGAACTCGGGTCCTTGTGCTTGCAAGTCAGGCTGTAGAACCACTGAGCTAAATCCCCAGGCCCTAGAGTTGTAACTTAGTAGAGTGTACTCCATGGTTCTTTTGAACCAGGATTACTGTATTAAGTAAGATATTTAAATTGTTCAAACTATAAATTATCAATAGGAAGTGCTATTTTAGAGGGTTAACATAAATTTTTGTTTCAGTAAATGGAATGATTAAAAACTTTAGATTGGTAATAAAGAGATTGCAAAGTCATGTTCCAGGGCAGAGTGTGAAACTATGGCTATGTCCTCATATTATGTCTAATTATTTATATAGCTTTTAGCATATTCCTACTTGTGTTGGATTATGAGCTTAGTGAACAACAAAACATGTTTCTGAGTAACATTGAATAAATAGGGTCTAGTGAGGAGAGAAACTTCAAAAGCTAATTGAACAGAAAGAATTTAACATAAGAATTATTAAGAGTCATGAATAAAAAAGTAGCCAGGTTACTGAAAGGTAAAAAGATAGCTGAAGTATGAGAATAGTATCCATAGTAAGCAGCTTCCACGCACACACTGTATAGAGGAGAAACCCAGGGAGCTGAAACTCAGAGGCACTGTTTCTTGTGGAGGTGGTGATGAAGCTGTTTCTGCTAGTGTTGATAGAACTGACAAAGTAGAAACATGAAACTGTGAGAAGGCCCTGCAGATCCGGGAGTAAGAAGTGCTGCTAAGCCGGAAGCCTCTCCCTCTCCCTAAGCAAACAGGAAGTAGACAGGAAATAGGAAGAAGATAGGAAGCCACAGGAAAGACTGAGTTTCTTCATAGTTACCTATTATCTGAGTGTAAAACTGATCCAGCTAATACAACAAAAATGTGACTTATAGAGTTTGAGCTCCAACATCACAATAGTAAGTATAAAATGGTGTTTGGAACTGAGGCAACAGCTTAATAACAGAAACAATCTATTATTAAAAATATCAATTTCTACAATATAGTATTATACTGCTTCATTTGAAATCATGCTGCTCAAGGTTTAAACTTTGTTTTCTTTGGGTTCTGGACCTTATACTATTTTTTTTAATATTAGGAACATGGAAAAGATACATTTCATTTGTTCAGTAATAAATGATTCCTTTGAAGGTCTTTTCAAAGAATTTGCTTCCACACAAATATATTTCAAGTTGAATTTTATCAATTGAAGTTTTAAGTTTAATTAACAGATTAGGTTACCTTTGAGAGAGAGAGATTTTTACTTTTTTCCTATTTCAATTTTTCTCACTTTCCCTTGAGACAGGGCTAATTTAAAAATTTTAAGGGCACTTCAAAGACATCTTTGACTCTAATTTATTAACATTATTAAAAAATAAAGCTTTTAAATGAAATGTAGAATTCAGGAGGGAAGATGTGCTAGGAAACAGAGCAGAGAAGGAAATATCTTGATAGATCTATAAATTATTCTTTCCATAGATTTTCTAGTTCTGACAGCTTGAGGCTGTGGACAGAAAAGAACATTTTAGCTTCAGCATGTAACAACGTAAACATAAGTGTTTAAATAATTTTGCATCAGTGTTCAGATATGAGTCCTAATGCTTATGGGTCTTAGCATTGACTTTATCCAGCCAAGTTAAACAAAGAAGAGCTGAGTATCTAATATTAGTCTTAAGTCTGAAAGTGATGCAGAAGTTAATCTTATGTTTTGTTTTGTCTTTTAAAGAGAAGAAGAGGAAGGGATTGATGTGGAAGAATTGGAGAGACTGAAGGCCGAGTTAGATGAGAAGAGACAAATAATTGCTACTGTTAAATGCAAACCTTGGAAGATGGAGAAGAAAATTGAGGTTCTCAAGTATGTTGCCACTTTTCATATATAAAGATACTTTTCCTGATACTGACCTCTTACATGCTTGCAGTATGATCTTTATTTTACAGATAATGCTAGATATAGTGCACATGTAAAATATTCATTGTAATATAAAACGCTCATATACAGGTATATGCACACATGCAGGTATGTGTATACATACACATACAATATGTATCTATCTATGCCTAAAATCTACTAGAGAAACTGGGCTGATGGTTATAAATTAGAAACAATTATGAGCAAATTCATTGATTTTTTTAGAGTCTTGTACCATCTGTAGTTAGCTTAATCATTTGTTCCTTAATTTGGAGTTTTCCAAGTTTGATACATTGATTACCACCTCTCTGAAAGAGATGATGTATTTGAATTTTGCAGGTTTATGTAGTTGCGCACTCTTGATTTTCTTCAGAGTCCTAGACTTAAATAATCTTTTCTTGTGACAGCTCTCTTGATAGCAGAGGAAGGATGCTAAGTGAAAGGAACAGCAAAAAGGATTCGAGCTAGGATCGTGCCCATAATCCTGTTGTTCCCTGATAATATGTCACTGACCCAATTTCAGTCTGATGTTGACTGCTCTTGTGGGTACAAACAGAGAACACAAAGATTTATAAATTTCCCATATGCAAAATCATGTGACTATCCCATTCTGGGAGGACAGAGCAGATCTGCCCCTGAGATACACATTATGTTTTCTTGCCCTGATGGCTGAGGGAGACAGGATGTACAGAAGGGTGTGTGTCTGTATTAGCTATGTTTGCATCTCTCATTCTTGCCATAAATACCATTTTTCCTCAAATGATTTTTATAAACAGTGATGTTTCCAAAACTGTCTTCCTCCAATGTTCCACTAATAATTTTGTTAAAATGATAATATGGAATCATTGTCTCTGGTGATGAATAAACAGCTGAAATAGCTATTAGGATAATTCACTTCTAGTTTTGGCTCTTCAAGAGCTTGCGTATTACTTAAGGAAATCATTTAACTTTCTGGAACTTCAGTTGTCTTGTATCAAAAAATAAATAAATAAATGAGTGAATAAATAAAAGAGAGATATTCTAGATCCACCCTCTGTTGAGATCTAGCCATCAATTTTAATATTATATCTTTGTTTTGTGTTATGGAGTAAAATAAAGTTTTCTAAATTCCAAACAATGGCCTTCCTAGTAGACTTTTGCAACATCAAGTGATTGCAGTCTGGAGAACTACCTGTGTATGTGTGCAGCAAACATTCATTGTGAGCAGCAATCCCAAGCAGAACTCCTTGTTCCATGCAAGTGTGATTTCGTGTGTGTGTGTATGTGTGTGTGTGTGCCTATGTCTGTGTCTGTAGACTGAAACACTTTCAGTTAATGAAATGATGATGATGCTAACTTGGAGGCTTAGAAGTCTCCTAATTTCTCAAAATAGAAAATTGGCAACCCGCTTCTGGCCCCTAAAATATAGTTTAAAATATTAATGGCCCACGGCATCCCAAAACCTGGGAGGCACAGGTATACAGAAAGTTATAAAATTGGAAAGTAATAATATTGTGAGCTTTCAAAGCATAAAATTATGGAAGAATGCCAGAGAGTACCTCCCTTCTATCTGCATGAGGGTGTAGAAACATTCATTTACTTCCTTACCTACAACTCCCATGTAGGACAGTAGAATGGGGCTTCAAACTTGAGTTTGAATCTTAGGTCATCTATTTAATGGCTGTGAATGAGATGTGTAGTCCCTCTGACCTCAGGTTCCTAATGAAATGTATTTATTTATTGGGTGATTGAAATCATATGTCAAGATAATTCATATAAAACACTTAGTGTGGTGCCAGAACATGGCACACAGCTGTACAATTATTTCATCTGAGAATAGACTTGTTGATGTTTTATTACTTCAATGTGACAAGAGAGATAGAGGGATTTGGGGCCTGGCAAGGTTAGGTAGGAGCCAATTTAGCCACAGGCAGATGCCAGGGGACTTGGGCAATGTTGACACAATGATAATAGTCTGGATTAATGATCAAAGTTTGAGATTTCAACAAAAGAAACTAGAGAGTATTTTAACAATGGCAAATCCAGAGATAGCTTGCTCTTAGTTCTTCCAAAATGTACTCCCAGTGTAGTCTCATGGTGAACTCCAGGGGCTGGAAGCTTGGGCCGGAGTTCAAGAACTAGGAGCTTTTAAAAGTGTAGAGGAGTAGGAATTGCTGAGAAAAAAAGTGTGACGCTATGTTCTAGCACCAGGGCGGAGGTTGAAAATGGAAGTTGAAAGCTGAATGTAGAACATAGATTATTTTTATTTGGCTCACATTTTTTTTCCTTTCCTTTCCTTTTTTATTTGGTACTGGGGATCTTTTTTTCTTTCCTTTTTAAAAATTATTTTTTTTTATTGTGGAAAAATGTACATTAACAAAATTAAACATTTTATTTTTTAAATGATAGCAATTTTTCTTTTTATGCTTAGTTTTTAAATGTAAGAAATTTTACACTTAAAAAAATCCAGGTGTTCATCTTCTCATGGAAAACTGAAAGATTAAGTCCCACATTTCTACATGAAAAAACCCACTGGGACTGAGCAAGAACTGCCCCTTACTAATAGGGCATTCACTCTTCGTGGTTCTTGGAGAATCAGTTTCACTTGTATATGCTACTTGGCTGGACCTTGCAGGCAGTTAGATTTGCTGCCTCTCACTGGGACAGCTGAGGAGCAAGTAGGCATGTGACCAAGACAGTGATTTGAAAGCCAACGTTGGTGTGCAGAATGGAAGCACGAGTTAGGCCCAGAGAAGAAACAGCTATTCTACTCCCTTCTCAGCAAGGCTGAGATGATGATTCTTGTAATGATTCTCCACAGCCCAAAGTAGTTCCTGCTTTGTGGCTTCCTGACTCTGCACAACTAGTTCCCACAGCAGTGGCCATCCTGGTTTTCTTGGTTTCAGGCTTTGTGTTGAAGTTGTTAGTACTAAAGTGCCTGACCTGTCTTCCTTTGAAGGTTTTTGAAAGGCATATTGAGCTTTCCCCCCATGGATTCCAATCACATTATAAGAGCAGTGGTCCTTACTTCATAGTTCATGTAGAGAAGATTCATCTAGCCTAGTGTTGCTCACATGTGGAGTCAGCCAGCATTTCCTCCACCCTTCAGAGAAATCTACTTTGAGAGAATGTTTTTAAGGATTATGGTATGCCCAGGATTAGCCTCCAGTCTTCGCTCCTGCTGAGTCTATGCAATCCAAGACATGAGGCTAAATATCAATGGGATGGATGTTTTGGTCACAGGTTTGGATTTGTGTCTGAGTTTCAAGGCTTCCTTCCCTCTGACTGTGGACTCTGAAAAACCTGTGAAATTTCTAAAACAGACTTCAGACAGGGTCAGAATTTCCAAGCATGTGAGAGAAGAAAGCCCTAGGAATAGCAGGTTATAGTTCTGTGCATATGGGACGTTCAAGGACTTTTCCCACATTTTTTAAAGAATATCTGTCACTAGGAATGTGATCATTCTCAGGGGTAAAGGTTAAAAGATGGGTAATATAAACTATTGCTACATGGTCAAGAAGCTCTAGAAAAGAAAAAGCACTTTTAAGAAGCAAAATCGACTCTATGGAAATAAAAGAAGTCACTTCCTTTCCACTATTGCTGTGAATCATTGATTTTTGTTGTAAGATTTAATTTATGTAACCTTAAATCTAGTAAATAATATCTCCTATTAAAAGGGCAGGTGTGGCTGGCTCAAACTGGGAATGGTGTTTTTATTTTTTGCTGTCAAAGTCACTATTTCAGCATCAGGATTGAGAGCCACTATCTTTACCTCTGAGAAACAGAAAATGTCATTAAATAGGATATCTTGCTTTGTGGATAGTTTATTAAATGGATGATAATATGTGTGTTTTGGGGATGAGAAAAAGGAAAATAATGGTGCATTTTTCATTTATCTAAATATCAATTCCAACATTAAAAATATCCATCAGTGACAATGTTAAGTATATTCTGTTTTAAAGTTGTTCATGGGTTTAACTCCGAAGTTGGAAGACTAGATCTTTCCTATCTGTAAGATGTGCCAGCACTAACTTAGTAGCAACCACCACAGGTGAAATAAAACACCTGGGTGGAAAATAACTGGCCTACTCCTTACTCATTCTGTGACCTGAAAACTTGAACCATATCAGAACATTATATGTAGTAGAGAATAAGTCCTTATGATTAAGCCTAAATAATCAACCACATTCTTTTCTTGTAGTGTAATAGATTTTGGCCTGAAAATTAAGAGACCAGGCTTGTCAAAGACATCTGTTCAATGGCACCTCTTTGAAATTTAGTTTACTTATTAATAAAGCAGATGTCAGATTGTGGCCCCTGGTTCTCAAATTGCTGTCTTCAGAGGTTAAGCAAATTGGTGAAATCAATTCAGGGCTGGGCAGGCAGAGCCAAGAAGGAGGACTGCTTGACTACAGCCAGCTTCAACCAGACCACATCCACCTCGTCTTTCTTCTGTATCAGGTGCTTCCATAAAAAGCATCTATCTGGAGAAAGAATGCTTCCCTGGTTGTAACACAAAGAACAAATTAAAAACCAATAACATTTAGCTAGGTATTTAAAAATGCTTCCTTTGTGGAAGGAGAGTTTTCATATTTCATGAATCCACAAATTAGGGCACAAAAGTACTCCAAGTATACTTTTTCATGGAAATGAGTCTTGGAGAGATTGGTTAAAGTTACTTATTTTGATAACAAAGGTGTGTATTTAGTCATTATATCGATTGCTTTTAATTTCTGAGCTATGTAGTGTCCTGATCTAGTGTTTCTGGGAGTTGTCCATTGGCTGACTATCCCTAGTGATTTATTAATGATGTGCTCAGCAAAGCCAAGAAAGTTACCCTTAGGATTTCATTTACACTTAAATAGGTGCTAGAAGCTGTCAGCTAGCCATTAAGGTAATATTCCTCCTTATTCAGTGGTCCTTTACCCTACCGTACCTTTGTTTGTTTGTTTTAAATTTAATTTTGT